ATTTACAGTAAAGCCTCCTGAGGTAGTATAGTTACTACCTTCTGCAGGTGGACTATTATGGTCAAGCAACAACTGATTTTCAACAGCGTCAAGCTGATACGCAATCGTAAGAAATTGGGATGCACTATAACGTTGTCGCTGATAAGCCTGTAGGCAGACATTTGTGGCTGTCAAACCACAAGAATTTGGTAGGTCTGCCCGCAGATCCGAATCTATGATGATATATTGTCACAGTGGAAATCGGAGCGCAAAGGCGGAAAAAGACAGAACAAGAAAAAGAAAAAGAAGTAAGGATGTGATGATATATATAAAGGAAAGCAGCAGATCAAAAAAAGACAGAACAAGAAAAAGAAAAAGAAGTAAGGATGTGATGATATATATAAAGGAAAGCAGCAGATCTCGAACTTGGAAACCGATTCAGAACTGCCGTGCCGCTTACAGTCCTCCCCAATTCGGCCGACAGCGACAACGGCAAAATCCCGGGACCCTCAAAAACGTCCCACTAATCGAGTGTAATCACCTTCCATTTTCCACGTAGACTAACCACTAATCTACGTAAGCTAATCACTAATCCACGTAGGCTAATCAATAATCTACTTAGACTAATCAATAACCCCTTTCCTCGATCTCGAACTTGGAAACCGATTCAGAACTGCCGTGCCGCTTACAGTCCCCCCCACCCCCAATTCGGCCGACAGCCACAACGGCAAAATCCAGGGACCCTCAAAAACGTCCCACTAATCGAGTGGGATCACCTTCCATTTTCCACGTAGACTAACCACTAATCTACGTAGACTAATCACTAATCTACGTAGTCTAATCAATAACCCCTTTCCTCCCTTCCCCCTCCTCAATTTTTAAGTTGCGCAAGATATACATCTGGAAGAAACCAGTCGGAGGTTACCATCCTTCCCCCGAATAGAACGTACCCTGATCATAATCGCATACAAGCTACCTTTTGATGAAGGTGGGTTACGCTACAGGAAAGCAGAGCGGACGGGCAGTTTTTATTAGCTCATTTTAAATCCGCTGGAGTGGTACCTCCCCTCAAAAGAATGTTAAATCGCCAAATGCATTCCGTCACAGAGCTACTACTGGCAAACCAAAAAATAAAAAAAAGGTACTTCCGACTGACCCCCCTCGCCCACACCCCCTCTCCCTTCCCCTCGTCACGATAGAGTCCGCCCTTCGTCAGGACTCCTCCACGCACCCTCCTCTAGGACTCCTCCACGCACCCTCCTATAGACGAGCAGGCCCTTCGTCATGACGACGACTACACGCACCTCTACCAAACAACCACTCTCCCCTTTCCCCCCCATTTGCCCCCCCTTCCTGCTCCCACCAAGCGATCAGCCACCTCACGCTCTCTCCGAATCGAACGACTTCCCCTCCCTTGTCGCTCCATTGCGACGAAACCCATCCGTTCTCGTCACACTGGTGGCAAACTACCCCCTTTTCCAATCGTCGTGGTTTAGACCCACCCCCTTGCTCACTTCACTACGTCCAACACCCCCCCCCCCCCCCCCCTTTCCCAAACCTCCTGGGTATCAAAAACCCCTCTTTCCTCCGTCCCTTCGGCACGTCAACCTTTATACTAAGTCACCCTCGTCGAGGAGATCGGCCCCCTATACCCCCCCCCTTGCCTTCATCACACTGCTCACCACCCACTCACCCACCCTCCCCTTTTCGATCATTCCCCCCTTTCTCCATCCTCCATATGCCAATCAAAACCCTCTCTCTCTCGTGTCGTTACCGCGCCCCTTTGCCCACTTCCCTCATCGCAAGTCCCGACAACGGAATTCTAAGGCCCGAAAAAGGTGAAGGATAGGATGAAGAACAGAATGAAGAAGAAGAAAGAGTAGTAGTAGTAGTAGTACGGAAGGGAGAGATCTACTCAATGGGAGAACCCATAGGGGAGGAGGAGGTCGTTCCCTGACTGCGAGGACCCGACGAACAGTTGAGTTCCCGCAAGGCTTCGTCGACGTCGCAAATCCCTGGGGGTAGGGTAGGAATCTCGTCCGGAGGGGAGAGAAAGACAATTGAAACTCGGCCACCATAGCCAATCTCACAAAAATGGAATGTGAGCACACAGCGAGAGGGATTGCTGGTGAATATGGGCAATAGGGAGGGTACATCGAGAAGCGGAATCCCAAAGAGAAAGAAAGAAAAAAAAGGTAGCATACATACTTGGACAGTCCTGATACGTCAAGCAAAGTCAACCATCATCGAGAAAAGCGACCATCTCCCCATTCCTCTCTCCCTCCCTCTTTCCTTCTCTCACGTCTTCTCGCTCCTCGTTGCGTTTGTCTTCCCCCCTCTCGCGTTCGGCCGCGCTCTCCAGACCCATCCGCCCCTACGATCCGCCTGTCGCTCCTTCGGGACAATGACGCCGCGCAGCCGGACGGGATGCTTTGGGTGCTTGCGGGGACCGCCTGTCTGATCAATAGCCGACGTCTGGGGCTCTGGCGCTCTGGCGCTCTGGCGGTCGGTCGCGGTTGTCCGGCCCGCTCTCTCGCCCAGCCCGGCCGGGAACGAAAATTTTGGGGATGAAGGGTGGGGCCGAGGGCGGGGCCGGGGACGGGGGCGGAGGGGCGCTACCTTATTTTCGAGGGCGTGTAAGAGGTGCGGGGGGCTGTGGCGGGCGGAGGCGGGGGGCTTTGACGAAGCATCCTCGCGCTTCCCTGTTTTCGGGGGCGTGTAAAAGGTGCTCAACCAGCCCGAAGGAGTTCAGAAAGCCCCAGACAAGCCTTGTCAGAATGCACGCGCCGGGATGCAGACGACCAGATGCAGGAACTGTGGCTTGAAGGCGGAAATCCACTGCTATACTCTGACAGGGCTTCAGCAGGGGTTTGACAAACTTCAGGCCCCAAGTTGGTGCTTGGGCCGACTTCCTGCGAATACAGAAGGCCAGAACTAACTAGCCCATGTGAGAACAGAAATCTGGAGAATATCCTGGGTGCTGCTGCAGTTCAGCCCGGCGGGGCAGTTGACACTACACTGTAGGTAGCCAATGGAAACTGACGTGTCATTTGTGCAGACAAACCCGGAACCTGCGAAAACGTCCATGTGAGAAAAAACGGGCAAAAAAAAACGTCTCCTGTGTCATTGTAGCTGGTGCAGTCCACTGTAGCGACTTTGCGCTAGGTAGCCTGATGACTGAGCTTTGACTGTTCGTTCTTTGGGAGTCACAAGAAGGCAGGTCACAAATGTACCTGCACCAATTCGCCCGCCGAGCTCGAATTCACATGGAACTAGAACAAAATATAACTAGAACAAAATATAACTTCTGAATGAATTCCCTGGGGCCACTCTCGAGGAGAAAAATAATAAGGAAATTTGTTGAAATGCCCCTGAAAGTTAGCGTATTTCGTCAGTTACCCCCAAAAGGCATGGGTATGAAGAAATGCCCCTATGACTGTAGTGAAAACCTAGAGAGTGTCCTTCGGGACATCCGTTAAAATTGGAACGATACAGAGAAGATTAGCATGGCCCCTGCGCAAGGATGACACGCATAAATCGAAAACCTAGAGAGTCAGATACCCCCAAAAGGCACGGGTATGGAGAAATGCCCCTATGACTGCAGTGAAAACCTTGAGAAAAAACAACCGGCCTAGGCCAGTACGTACACCAATGAACCCTTGAACACAGATCCAAGTTCGAATCCAGAGGCAACCAATTGAACAAAACAAAATCATTTTTTTCCCTGTAGAATCTGGACAGGATGGCCTTTCAGGCCTTTTTTTATTGTCATTATAGTATTACGGGGTTGCAGCCACATCCATGCTCAAGCCTCCAACGAGGGAAAACGGAAGCTGCACCCACCAGCAGGTGCGATACCTGCCACAGCAGGTGGGCTATACCGGCCAGGGGTCAGCCGGTAGCATCAGCACCGAGAGCTTCTTCGATGGGCCAGTTACTGTGCCTCCCCTCCGGTCCCCTCCCCCTATGAGCATCAGCAGTCTCAATGCC